CCCCAAAACCCCAAAACCCCAAAACCCCAAAACCCCAAAACCCCTTTTTTAAGTCATCAAATTGATGAAAATATAGTGCTAAGTAGAGCAAATATGGATTATCTTTCACCTTTCCATCTTCTCTTCTGGTGCTCGTTGACAAATGCTTTCCCGACCTTCTTGAAGTCCTTGTGGGTAGGATCCATATTGAAAGCGCCAGAGTCATAAATAGCTTCGAATCTCTTATCAGTCGTGTCAGGTTCGAAGTCATCCTTTGTCTGGTCACCGGTCATGAGAAGGGTGAGCTCGTCCTTGGTAGCTGCATCTTCGCTGATGAGGTTCTTGAGCTTATGTTTTTTGTGCTTCTTTTTAGCACCTTCTTCAGGTTTTTCATACATCATTTCCTTGTCAATCTCCTTCTTTTCCTTCTCTTTCATTTTGCGATCTCTCTTCTTCTGCTTCCTTTCTCTTTGGTAGGTTTCGTAGGCTGATTCCTTCTTTTTGGCTTCATTATCTTTCTTGCTTTGGAGTAGAGTGTCTCCGATATTTTCGAAACCGGACTGGAAGGTGATCTTGATGTCCCCAGTCACTTCCTTCTTCTTCTTTTTCTTGGCAGCGACACCGAAGGCTTGGTTGATCTCCTCGTCGCTTTCTGATTCACTGTTGTCTAGACCAAGGATGGCTCTTTTACGAGCGATTTCTTGCTCGTCTTCTTCTGAGGAGAACTCAGGATCTGAGGAAGCGATGTACTCTTTAAAATCCTGATCTTCGAGCTTGTCTACCTCCCACTTCTTCTTGATGACCTTCATTCTTTTTGGGTCGTCTTCGTCCCAGGTAAGCTTGACCTTGGTGTGCCCAATAGCACGGTTTGCGAAGAAGTTTCACTCGTATTCCTCAGGAGCCTCTGTTCATTCTTCCTTTGGAGCATAAGGGAACTCCTTGATTTCATCTGGAATGAACCTTAGGTCCATCTTCAATTGACTCTGCTCGAATTCGAGCCCGTCAATTTCGCTGTAAAGGTGAGCTGCAGTGGCTGGGGAGTCACAGTAGATGACACCGAAGTAGTATTTCATCTTTTGTGCTTCGTATTTCCTGAGTTCCATCTCATCAAATTCATAGTTATCCTCTACTTCAAGAGCGCTAACTTTGTTATGAAGCACTTTCTTTTCATTTTTCTTCTCAGCCCTTTTAATCTTGAACTTCTTCTTTTTCTCATCAAGTTCTTTGTGAGAGAAGATCGCAGTTGGAGGACCGGCTAGTGAATCATTTTGCATCTTCTGCTTTCCGTATTCAGAGGGCCTAATCTCAACTTTGAGGACCATTGACTCTCCTTTACAGAAGGAAGAGAAGAGGAAGTAGAGGTCCTCAGCTCCGATATGGTCCCAATCGAGGTTTTGTACTGCTAATTTGGAGGTTTGGTCTTCGCCAAGCTTGACCTCATCTTGTAGGTCAGACCAATATCCTTCATCTTCTTCTTCTAGTTCTTGCTTGGGTTGTTCTTCCTCCTCGCTGCTGCTGTCAGATTGTTCATTCCAGACGAAATTGCCGTCTTCATCAAGGATTTTGTTTTTGTTCTCAGTGTCTTCTTCGTCTTCTTCGAATTCGTACATTTTGTCTAGAGAACTATGAGATTTTGGGAAAAAGAAGTGGCTTACTTAGCTTATCTTTGTGAGCAGAAGCAATGAAGTTCTTGTCTTTTATCATTTTATTGAACCGTTTATCGACCTTGACCTTCTTCACGCTTTTTGGAGCCGTCATGAATTTGGGATCAGTCGAAATTCCGGCAAACCTTTCGTCCTTTTTGATCTTGTCTTCGAACTTCTCTTTCCTTTTGACTGGTTTGGATGACATAGTTGTGTTTTATCGAATTATTATTTTTAAAGCAATAATCAATGAATAAATGATAAAACGGGGTTTTGGGGTTTTGGGGTTTTGGGGTTTTGGGGTTTTGGGGTTTTGGGG